ATGGGACTTAGTAACTACTTATAATTGGGCTTATAGTTTAGGGTTCAGGGTTTAGAGATTGCATGGCTTCGCAGCGGATTGCCGCAGGGCAAACCGTTGACATGGACGAGCTCAAAAAGGAGGCGAGGCAGCAAGCCCAGTCCGCCAACTTCGGAATGCGCGTGTCAGCGTACCAGGAGGCCACAAAGACTGTGGACGAGCTGGGCCTGAAAAGTACCGCAAGAAAGAGGCAGAAGGCGCTCGTGTTCGCAAGCAGGTTGGCCAAGGCCATCAAGGATGGCAAGCTTGATACCGCACGTGGACTTCCTTGGAGTAGTCTCCCAAAGGCACAGATCACCCGTAAATTTTGCTCTAAACCCTGAACTGTAACCCCAAAGCCCTAAACCCCTGAACTGGAATCACAAGCCCAGAATCCTAAGCTACGACGGCTCATCCCAGAAATACCCTCTTCCAAATTAGAATGGAACCCGAGATGACGTAGGGTTTCATTGTGGGCTTTTGGTGCGCGTTATGTGAGGGTTCTTTAGGAATATGGGTGGGTGCATGTATGGGAGGGCAGGTCCTTTAGGGGGACCATGACACAAACTTGCTACCATTACGCCCTTCCCCAAACTAACATCGCTCCTACGGGGTTCCATGTCAATTTTTGAGGTTCGTCTCCTTTAAAAATGGCAGTCAGTGGTATTCCCGGTGCCCTTTTTGGTGGTTCTGTGCGAGTGTTGGGGTATTGCCCTTTAGCAAGGCATAGCGCCAATAGCTTCTCAGCTTGCAACCTCGGTGAAAGGTTTGAGCTTGTGATTAAAAATGATGAAAGTCATGGTGCCTTGGGGGCATTAGCACGGCTAGTATGTGGAAAGCGGACATTTGAGGCATACTTCATATCCCAAGAATAGCAGACGATAATGAAATCCAGCAGAGGCAAGCCTAAAACCTCGCAAGACTCTTAACCAGGTTTCAGGTTTTAGGGTTTAGGGTTTGGGGTTTAGGGTTTAGGGTTTAGGGGTTTAGGGTTTAGGGGTTTAGGGGTTTAGGGGTTTAGGGTTTAGGGTGTCTTAACCCACCCTCGAAACCCTCAACCCTCACTCTCCTTGGGAGAATCCTAGGATGCTTCTTGTCGTGCGGTGCACCTTGAGGGCCCTAAACCCTAAACCCTAAACCCTTAAACCCTAAACCCTTAACCCTAAACCCCTAAACCCTAAACCTTAAAACCTTAACCAAGGGGAGCCAAGGGGATAGGGGTCGTACATACAGCACGAGTTAGAAGTGAAGAAGCCTTTTAGCTACGGTGGACGGAGGACTTGTGTTTTTTGTGCACCGCTTTAAATGAGCTATAGCCTAAGCTCCTTAAAGGAGGAATTGCATAGGGGAGTATAAAGGGGAGTTTTCTGGAGTCATTAAGGGGGATAGTAGGAGTTTAGACTATAGCTCACATGGCAGTCTCCCAAAATGAGGGGACCGACCGCAACATTGACCGCAAAATATTATACCCCCTATTACTAGGACCCCCTAATTTTGGGAAGCCCCCTATTCCTTAGGCCCTAGGAATTACGGCCTTATGGTCTCAACAGGTGCACCATCAATGGTGAACCTCGTAGCTATGACAGCATACTGTAGAAGCCTACACTGCCGATATTGGGGTCCCATGTTTCTTGTATGTTTGTACCATAGGGTACCTTGAATAGACCTCAAGATGCTAGTGGTACTACAGGGTACCTTGAATAGACCTCAAAGTGATAGTGGTACTTTTGTTGGCCCCGGCAGTATCTACGTCTTGTGTGCTGCAAGGTATCTTCCTTGGTTCCGTGAGGCCTCCACTATCAGAGCTGATTGGGTGAAGGAGTTTAGGGGTGAGGGTCTAAGGGTTCAGGGATTAAGGTTTTTGGGTTTAGGGTGTAGGGGTTTAGGGTTTAGGGTTCTGGGTATGAGCTTCTTTATTATGGTGCAGTAACTGTTTTTGCAGAGGGGAGTGACCTAAGATTTCATGCAGTAGTTTTGTTCGGGCTTCGTGGGTTTCGAGTGGATTCCATATTCGGGTGGGATCATCTTTCCTAATCCCCACATCCGCCCCCCCTGTTAGTAAACACCCCTACCCTCCTTGGAGGAACAAATATTGCCCCTTGTTATATACAATGCTTCACTGATTTACCCTAAGCCCCAAACCCTAAAGCCTAAATCTCGGGGTGGTTATGATTATGGGATGGCTGGGATGAGCCCTAAACCCTAAACCCTAAACCCTATGATACTCGAAAGCGCCAATTTCTAAGTCTACAGGCTCCTACATTACAATCCGTAGGGGAAGGCCCCATGTAACCCAGTTTCCATTTCATGTGCCACTATTCTACTATTCAGGCACCTGCACGAACCCTAAGACCTAGACCCTATACCCTAAACCCTCAAGCCTAACTCCTAAATTGTAAACCCTACGCCCTAAATTCTCAAAACCCTAAGCCCTAAATTCTAAAAACTCAGCCCTAAATTCTAAACCTCACGCCCTGCAAAGGAGTGCAAAGTTTTTTTTTTCCCAGACCCAGGGTTCGCAAGTCCTCAGAATCCCCGGAGTTCCGGGTTTAGGGTTTGAGATTTAGGGTTGAGGGATTAGGGTGTGGGGTTTAGGGGTTAGGGTTTGAGGTTTAGGGTATAGGGATTAGGGTGTGGGGTTTAGGGGTTAGGGTGTAGGGTTTAGGGGTTAGGGTTTGGGGTTTAGGGTTTGGGGTTTAGGCTTTGGTGTCCTCAAACCCCCAAGCTACGCCCTAACTGTTGAAATTCGTTCCCAACTCAGACGGGCTGTTTGAGCCTAGCTATATTCATGCCCAGCATCCAGGGGTTTTAGAATTTTTGCTTCAGGGTTTAGGGTTTAGGGCTCAGGGTTTAGGGTTTAGGGTTCAGTGTTTAGGGTTTAGGGAATATTGGGTTATACTCATAGCTCCAAGTAGGAGACCGAAGCCACAACTCCCACACCCTGAGCCCTAAATCCTAAACCCTAAAACCCATACCCTAAAACCCCAATCAACTCCTTGCGGATTGTTGCAAAGGTCTTTGTAAAGGAGGGACCATGGGGAACCGTATACTCCTTGCACAATCCCTATGTGAGCTAAAGTCTAAACTCTTTAAAGGGGGTTTATACAGGGGATTATATAGAGGAATCGCATAGGGGCTACTCAGGGATACTAGGAGTTTATACCCTAAACCCTAAACCCTACCCTATTCTATATAGCTGATATAATCCCTATATGCGCTTTGAGGGTAAATCAATGGGTATGGGGTGATTTAAGGATTGCAAAAGGGATCCATTCTCTACCGACCCTACCCCCTACACCCCTAAACCCCTAATACCCCTAACATCCATAACACCCCTAACACTTCTAACATCCCTAACACCCCTAACACCCCTGACACTCCTAACACCCCTGAACCCCTAACACCACTAACACCACTAACGCCCTAAACCCTAAACCCCAAGCCTACTACCCTGGCCCCAATATGCTACTTGTCTGAGGTTAGAAGTATGGGCCCTTAATGGCCCTTAGGCCTGTTAGGGAGATTCTAGGCACCCTCAAGGGTACATAAAGGGTATAGGGTTTAAGGTTTAGGGGGTAAACGATCCCAGGCATAAAAGCCCATACTAGGGGCCCATGGTTTCAACCTCAGAATTTGGTTTTCGTCCGTTCCTTGTCTTCCGATCTAAACACCCCTCAGCGAAAACCCCGTGAGGCAGAATTGCGCCTCGTCTGATCCAGGTCTGGGTTTAACGCTTAGGGTTTAGGAGTTTAGGTTGGGTACTGCCCCCCCCCCTCAGTAGCAGTTGGAGAATATTTAATTATGGTTATATATAGCCCTTAATAGGATCCCTAACATAGACTGTTACTGGGTGGGGGCAGTACCCAAGGTTAAGGGTCCTAAACCCTAAACCCTAAACCCGTTTATTTATGGTGTTCCTCTCACGCCTGACTGGGTCCGCTTTATGCTATTTTTGGGGTATTGGTGTCCCTAGGCCTTAGACCCTAAACCCTCAACCTAGCAACCAGAAACAAGCGAAAAGCCCAGGACTCCTGGTACAGGCTTCAGGGCTACGGTGTTTGGGCTCATACGGTTTAGTATATAGTCCCCCTTAAGTAGATAGAATAGGGGTATGTGGGGATCTTATGAAAACATACCCAACGCCATATTCTATCTATACAAGGGGGACAACTGGCTTAAGGGAAAAGGGCTTGGGGCCAAGGATCCAGAATTTAGGACTAAGGGTTGTGCGTGCTGGGGCGTTGGGTTGCAGAGCTTCGACGAACTCAGTAGGTACTACTGAAGATGCTTTAGCCCCTGCATGTGCTTCAGCATTCGAAATTTGAGGAGTGGTGCTTTTGGAGTATATTAGGGGCATGTAAGATGCTTTGTATACATGATGTCTACAAAAGAAACCTAAGTCATTACGGTACCTCAAACAGACCTGAAGATGATATTGTTCAAGGTAATCCCCCTGAAGCTCCCATATGATCCCCATTTCCTGACGTTCTTGCCTATCTGCTTCTTCACCGTTAAGGGCCCCTTTTTTTATGGTCTAAACCCTAAACCCTGGCTGACAGCGGCTCAGAGTTTAGGGTTTCTGGAATTTCTATCTGGTGCATCGTTTTGTTGGTAGTAGGAGTTCATGGCAACTGTCTGTAAGGTTGTCAATTTTTTTGGATCCCCTAAATTGTAGAGGTCTTACTGTACAGGAAGCACTGTCTAGAAACGCCGTCTGAAGTCTGGGACCCTAAGCCCTCTTTCCACCCTAAATCCTAAACCCTTACGCACATATAAACTTACAATTACTTTGGGATCTCAAATTTCCTTAACCTCAGAATTTCAAACTTTTAAGCTCAAACTGACCACCCCCCAAACCCTAAGTAATGGTAACTATCCCAAATTTTTTGAGGGTTGGGAGTTCCCTAAACCCCCAACCCAAAGGGTTTGTGAGGTCTAGGGTGAAGCCTCACAAGCAGCTCAGGAAGCATGGTAGGATCGCGATGCTGGCTTTCGTGGGCTTGGTCGTGCCGGAGTTCGTGCGTATCCCAGGCAGATCGGGATTTAGCGTTCGGGGCTTGGGAGGACGGTTATAAGTCCTCAATAAAAGGATTTGATGTAGACTTCGAAAACCCAGTCATACTGAATTACTAAACCCTAAACCCCCTAAACCTCCTAAACCCTAAACCCAACTACTGGCATCTCCAGGCCGTTTAGGATTAATTATTTTTTCGGGTTTAGGGCTTTCAAGAAACCCATGCAAGGGGCCAAATGCCAATAATAATATCGGGAATTTAGTGTCTTTTTCGCTTAGGGTTTAGTGTGCAGTATTCTTTTCACCCGGCCATCGTGGACACGCACTGGGTCCATCTGCCAGGACACCCTGCGCCTGGCTCCCTTACCCAAACCCAAACCTAGACCTCTAAACTTTGTGCTCTCAAATCTCAAGCCCCAAACCCAGTTGTAACATACCAGAAGCATCGCAGAACCCCCAAAAGCCCCAGATCCCTAAACTTAAGCAGCCCTAGTGGTTCCACCGAGAGGTCCTGATGCTTGCTATGGAGCCAAGACTGTGGTGGATACCTGGCTGTCTTAAGATGAGGAATTGAGAGGGATTTGAGTTCAAGGGTTTAGGGCTTAGAGCCTCAACCCAAAACACCATAAGCCCTTAACTTTTGACCCTAAACCCTCAGACCGAAACCTTAAGCCCTAAACCCTAAGCCTCACACCCTAAGCCCTTAACCGGTTTTAACCAGTTTAGGCTGCAAGGTAGGATCGGGGCTTGTGGGGTGATCTTACCCCTGAATTTGAGGAGCAACCTTCAGGCGTAGGATGGTCAAAGGTTTCCGACCTTGTATGATTTTGGCGAAGTCCATATTCTATCCATTTAAGGGGGGACTTTGGCTTTCCAAGCTTTATTGATGGGGGGTGCCTCCTGAGGATCGTCCAGTTTAGCATTATGTGAGCCATAGTCTATGCTACTTACAGGGGGGTTATATAGGGGATGATATAGGGGACTACTGACGGGGATACTAGGAGTTTAGACTCTAGCTCATATAGAAGGGATGGGGGTGGTTAATGTTGGGGGAAGGGATGGCCCAGTTTGAGCCCCAGAAGAACGAAAGTGGTTTAGGGCTTAGGGTCCGAGGAACGCAAGTAGTTATGATCTGAGTATACGTCAACTCGACCAGGCTCCTGTGGTAATTTCCCTAAATAGTGGGACCCCCCATATAGCAGTTTCCGTAAATAGGGGGACCCCAATATAGACCCTAATATGTTGTAATCCCTATCATAGGGACCCGTAAGAGGATACCCCTAATTTTGGGAAACCCCTATATAGACCCCAATATTTTGGAATCCTCATCCTGGGGATCGCACAAGTTTAGAAGAGGCTCCTACTTTTTTGGAAATCCCCATGCAAACAGTTAGTTCAGAAGTGGAACATGTGCAGCTCCTGCTTAAGAGTTTAGCTTACAGAGCTGGGTTTAGGTTTAGGGTTCCAGGACACCCAAAGCTCCGAAAGAGTTCCCATGCTAGAACTTCAAGCCCCCCAAAAATAAACTCATCGCTCTACATGCTTATCCCAAGCCCTTAACCCCATAAATTCTCAACCCCAGCCCGGGATCACAGCCCACAGTCAAGCCAAAAAGCTCCGTGCACTACGTAGCAAGGGTTTAGGGCTTAGTGTCTTGCTTCAGGAGGCTGATCCCGACTTGACTTACGTGGATGTGAAAGCGATTTCGGGGTTTGATGCCCTGAACTCCTCATGGAGATTTCCAAGAAGTTGGGTAGCCCTAAACACTAAACCATAAACCCTAAACAGCCCTAAAACCCTAAACCCTAAAAACCTTAAACCCTAAACTGCCCTAAAGCCCTAAAAACCCTAAACCCTGAAAACCCTAAACCCTAAAAACCTTAAACCCTAAACTGCCCTAAAGCCCTTAAAACCCTAAACCCTGGAAAACCCTAAACCCTAAAAACCTTAAACCCTAAACTGCCTGGCCGAGGATGCCCACAATGCATGCGTTGGCAACCCTCCTTTTCCTTTCCTGATCAACACTGGGGACCGCCGGCACAGGTTAAGGGTTTAGGGTTTTGGCTTCAGAGTTCAGGATGTAGGCTTTGGGGCTTAGGGAAAACTATTTCCTGGTGCATGTGTGGGACTGAAATACACCAATTTCGCAGAATTACAAGTAAAAGACAAATCGAAATACTGCAAAATGGTATTGATGCTTGTTCCGGCTTCTACAGTACTTTTTAGGTCCTGAACCCTAGAGCCTAAACCCTAAACCTTAAGGATCTAAGGATTCAGAGTGGAAGGGTTAAGGATTTTGAGCCCAGGAGGCGATAGATTCAGAGTTAAGGGTTTAGGGTTTAGGGTTGGGGCGTTGGGGTTTAGGGTTTTAGGCTTAAGGCTCTAGGGCTTTGAGGCTTTAGGGTGGGTAGAAAGCGGGGTGAAGGCTCCGGGGTAGTGCGGGTCCACATGACATGAGCTAAATTCCTTAAAGGGGTTATATACATGTAGGGTATTATAGTGGACGTTATGGGGTATGATATAGGGTTTACGTTTAGGGTCTAAACTCCTTAAAGGGGGTTTTATAGGGATGATATAGGGGACGAGTATAGGGGCTATTTAGGGGCATACTAGGAGTTTAGACTATGGTCCACATCTGGATGGTTAGGATTCTGCATTTCCAAGCCTTGCCTGTAACCGCTGAGTTGCACACGCTTGCCCATGAATCTAGTGTTATTTGTTTTTCCTGGCCATTCAGGCAGGCAGCGATCCGTAGCGGCCTGTCACATTGCACAGCAGTTCTTGAATGGGATAGTTGCTAGCTAGATGAAACTCACGTATCGCAAGTTCATTGGCATGGCATTTGCCCGTAGCAGTGCGAAGCCTGCGGTTTCTTGCGCAACCACCCGAAGGTTTCTTACGATGCGTCAGAGACATACGTAGAGACATTCTACAGGCGTGGCGAGCTTTTATGCCTGCTTGCGCGCGTGAGCATATTGCTGCTTGCGGCATACAGCTTGGGGATCGATATGCCCCCCGTGCCAGGACAATCCAGGCATTTGCTGGGTCGGTGATGCTTCGGAAGTTTGGATCTGTTTTGAGAGTCCTTAAGCCCTGAACCCCCAACCGCGAATCCTCAACCGCAAACCCTGAACCCCCAAGCTTGAAGCCTAAACTCCAAACACTGAAACCTTAACCCCTGAGCCCTAAATCCTAAGCCTTGCCTTTTGAGTTCCTCACAAGGATAACCCTAAGCCCTAGGCCTTAAACCCTAAACCCTAGGCCCTTAAACCGTAAACCCCAGGCCCTTAAACTGTAAACCCTAGGCCCTTAAACCCTAGGCTCTTAAACCCTAAGCCGTAAGCTCCTAAACCCTCAACCCTAAGCCCTTAAACCCTACACTCTAAAGCCTAGGCCCTTAAACTGTAAACCCTAGGCCCTTAAACCTTAAACCCTAAGGCCTGAAACCCTGAACCCTGAGCCCTGAAACCCTAAACTCTAAAGAAAATCCTAAGCCCTAAGCCGTAAACCCTAAATCCTAAGCCCTGAAACCGTGAACCTTCAAACCTTATGTCACGCCCCGGAGGACTTCTTTGCGGGCAACGACGACCAGACCGGGCCCCTCTTTCAGGCTCTCTGTCTACAACAACACGGTTTAGGGTTTGGGGTATTCAGGGTTGAGGGATTTAGGGGTATATAGGGTTCAAGGGTATTGGGTTTGAGGGTTCAGGGTTTAGGGTCTAGGTTTGGGGTTTAGGGTTTAGGGTTTAGGGGCTTTGGGTTTCAACCCTAATTAAACCCTAGGCCCAAAATCCCAGATCCTAAAACCATGTGTAAATCCTGTAGACGCTTGAGGTTGAAGCTTCCAGGTTTTGGGTTGTATGACTTAATGGTCCCTGTCTATGGTTGGAAGTATGGCCCCTTACTATGGGGCCACAGACGTATTAATATGAAAGGTTACATGGCTGACATAGGTTATATTCAAGGTCTATAGGGACCTCAAGACTAAGCCCTAAACCCTAAACCCTAGACGCTAGACCGGCATGCTTCCGACCTTAGACTCTTTTGAACTAGCTGAAGGTGTCCAGTCCAGGATTTCATGGTTTCTGGGTTTAGGGTTTTTGGAGTCTCTGGTTGCAGCATTGGGACACTTGGGATCTACGGTAAAGGGTGTCAGGGTTTTGGCTTTGGAGATGTGCGATTGTAAGGTTTGAGCCCTAAACCCTAAACCCTAAACCCTAAACCCTAAGGGGTTTCTGCATCCCAGGGTTCGGGGTTCATAAAAACACCGCCTTCCAACCCGCTTAACAATGATATCCCAAAGGTAGAGCTGGTATCTGCGGGTTTAGGGTTTAGGGGTTTAGGGTTTAGGGGTTTAGGGGTTTAGGGTTTAGGGTTTAGGGGTTTAGGGTTTAGGGGTTTAGGGGTGCGGGAATACTCATTATTGGGCCCTGGACACTGAGATAGGCATAGGGTTGAGGAATTTTGGAGTGTACTAGGAAACCCTATCTAACAAACCTTCCGCCCGAAACCAGGCAGCTTAACCCTAAACCCTCATACCCTAATCCGCACCAAAGGGTAGCGGCCATCTCCTGAGCATTGGGCGGCCGATGCCAGTGTAGGGTTTGGGGTTTAGGGATTAAGGTTTTGGGGGTGTATGTGCTTAGTAAATACTTATAACTGGGATTATAACCCTTATGCCCATTTCAAGGGATTATAAGTAGGCTTATAAGCCCAATTACAGATAGTTACTAAGTCCCGTGGGCCTCCAAGTAGGGGTTCAGGGGCTTAGGGTACATGGTACTTCTTCAAGCCGGTTACAGGTTTAGGGTTTAGGGTGGTCATGAGCCACTGTGCGCGCCTAAAATTAGTCAGGCTCCAGGGGCTCAGGGTCTAGGGCTCATAACGTTTAGGAATGGGTATTCTGCCTTTGGCAACTTGGTTTCTGTGCCGGAAGTTAAGTTGCAGCACTTTTGAAGCGCCACATCAAGGAACCTCGGCGAAAACATGCGGTAGAACTTCGTAATGACCATCCTAAACCCTAAAGCCATGATGGATTAAGCTCATATCCCAAAACCGTCAACCCTGAACCCTAAACTCCTGAGCCCTGAACTTTGAACTGCAAACCGCAGACCTTAAACCCTGAATCTGAAACCCTCAAAGCCCCAAACCCTAAACCCTAAACCTCAATCAACAAAAACCTAAGCTCTAAAACCTAAACCCTTAAAACCCCAAACCCTTAAACCGAACTCTAAACCGCAATATAGACCCCTAAAAACTTTATCATCCTCGTTGTAGGGACCCCCTAAGCCCTAAACCCTGACCCCTAAACCCTAAACCCCAAACCCTAATTTTGGGAGACCCCCAAATCCCAGGTCTACGCCTTCTGCGGCTTCGTAGAGATGCTTACGACCTTCGCAAAGGCATGTGCCCGGCATGCGTCGTTACGGTTTAGGGTAAAGGGTTCAGGATTTAGGGTTCAGGGTTTAGGGTTCAGGGTTTAAGGTTTAGGATTCAGGGAATCTTTTAACAAGAGGTGCCCTGGAGATTTAGGGCGTAGGGCTCAGGATTTAGAGGGTTTTTGGCTCAAGATTTAGGATTTCGGGATGGGGTGTGGGGTTTCAGGGTTTTCAGTGTGTGTGCTCTCCCAAAGCGACATGGAACCTAGGAAGAGATGCCTTGTAGACTGCTGTCCTTTTACTAGGCGTAATACCCTAAACCCGAAGCCCTAAACCCTGAACCCTAAGCCCCAAACCCCCAAACCCCTAAAGGGTGGAGGATCAAAACAAAAACAAATAAGGATCAAAAAAACAAAATCTGAGGATCAAGAAAAACAAATAAGGATAAAAAAATCGTGGATTTCATAGTAAAACTGGCAGAACGGAGACAAGTCCAGGGATCAAGAAAAACACAAAAAGTGACTCAAAACTAAGGAAAACCTACGGGAATTTGGAGGGTCAAAAAAAACAAAACCGGGATCAACAAAAAAAACAAAATCTGAGGATCAAAAAAACAACTAAGGATCAAAAACAAACAAAACGCTGGTGAAAACTCGTGAAGCTCTTGAAAAAATAATGAAAAACAAACAAAAATATTCGAACATTCATGAAAAATGATGAAAAATGATGAAAAATGGTGAAAAATGGTGAAAACATGACGAAACTGATGAAAAATGATGAAAATGATGAAAAATGACGAGAAATGATGAAAGATGATGAAAGATGATGAAAATTTACAAAAACGATGGAAAGTATGAAATTTGATGAAAAAGGATGAAACATGGTGAAAAATGATGAGAGTGATGAAAAATGATGAAAAATGGTGAGAACATGATGAAAATGATGATGAAAGATGCTGAAAAATGATGCAAAGTCATCAAAATAGTGGAAAAAATCATGAAGCATGATGAACGAAAACTGATGAAAATGATGAACTTTGATGGAAAACGATGAAAGTGATGAAAACTTGTGAAAAATGGTGAAAAGATGTTGAGCATGAGGAAAAGGATGACAAAAGGTGCAAACTGGTGAAACATGATAGCAAATGACGAAAAAAAGTGATGGAACATGACGAACAAAGATGAAACTTTATGGCCCATCATGAAAAAATGATGAGGGATGATGCAGATTGATGAAACTTCACGCAGATTGATGAAACAAACTCAGAATCATGAACAACTCTGAAGGTTCGAGTATGATGCAAAAGCATGGAATGATGAAAAGTGATGAGAGATCACGAAAAAACAATGAAAATAATGCAAATGATGCAAT